GCACTCCACCAAGGATAGGGGCGGAGAGGACAATTCATATGTTGGCTCAACCGATGGCAACGACGGAAGGACAGGAGAAGGCTGATCAGATCCGTCGCTGAGTGTGATGGGTTCACCGCCGCCTTTAGTACCGACCGACCTTTCAGCCCCAGTAGGGGCACTGAGGTTGGGGCGGACTTGTTCATTCAGGGCCTCGTCATCAGCCTCGCTTTGGAAGTTATGCCTGGCAAATAAGTCCGACCCAACCTCGATGTGGCAGGCGTGAAGGGCGGCATCCCAACCCTCTTTGAAAGCCTTCTTCTTGGCTTCCTCAAAAGCGGGGACCATTTGGTCTTGAATGGTCGACCACACTCTCAAACACTTCCGATTGCAGCCTCTCCTACTCTTCGCTTTTTCTGCTGTCAAGGAGTTCACTTTGGCAGTAAGAGCGCTAATCACAGACTTGGACACTTGCAACTTGGACTCGAAGGAGGAAACTCGCAGTTCAAACTCCTTGGTCTTTTTCATCACTGTAGTTTCGCCCGCCTTAGCCTCATTCAACTCAGCATGAATGGCGTCTCACTGGCGGATGAGCTCGGCAATGTGTTTGGTCTGATCACCGAGGGTCCTCTCGACCTTCAAAATGTGGTCATCCTTGGCGGCCGCGGCTCGCTCGGTATTCTTCGCCTCTTGCTTGTATTCCCAAAAGCGTTCAATGATGGCTCCCACCTGCTGGCTAGCCTGGAAGAGGAGGAATATTAGTAAATGACCAAAGGGGAACAATAGCTACTCGGGGTGGCGATGAACTTACCACCAAGTTGTTTTGGATGGTGCTCGTCAGGAGTCGATTGTTCGAGTAACCTTTGTACACGGCCATGTCGGCCTTGAACTGAAGCGTCCCCGTAATAGCAAAGGCCACTTCGGGAGATTGGAGGATTGAGTCGGCTTCCGAAATAGGCCGACCGCTTCTGGTCTCGGCCCGACCAACCCACTATCCCGAGTCAAAGGACCCCAGGGCCGCGACATCATGCGCTGCTTTACACGACACTCTTCATGATGTTCGGCTTACTGGGCACGCCTGTCCCTCGGCCAATCTACTGGAGTTGGGACTTGTTGGATTGGGCCCTCTGCCTGATCGGCACGGCCGAATCCTTGGGTCACACACGACGATTGCTTTTGAGGAGGACGAGGTTGAGGAATGATGGACGCAGGATTGGAAGGCCCGGCCAAGCCTATGAGTCTGGCTCTCCTTGCCGAGGCGGCGACCTCCATGGTTGTTGCGGTGATGGGTGGTGGATTAAACATGTTGGGTGTAGGAGACTTGGTAGCGTTATGCGAAGACTCCTCTTCTGAACCACCCTAGGATTCTTCCTCTTTCGACGAGGAGTGATCTTCCCAAACGGAAGGGTTGAAAGGAGGAGGGATCTGATAGAACCGGCTGTAGGTTGGCGTATAGCCGAGGAGGGTATGCGTCGCTCATTCAACCGGGTTTGAGGACCAAACCTTTAGCAGATCAGCGAACCAGACTTGAGACCTCAGCGGTTGAGCAGCGAACCAGACTTGAGACCTCAACGGTTGAGCAGCGTCTCGACGATATCCTTCTGCGAAAACAGGGCAAAAATCAGTATGTCCCTCGAACCTAAAAAGATGTAAATCGAGAAGTCAGAACGAAAACACACCTTCATCCCTCGGCACTTTGGGGCAGTACAATCTGTCATACTCAGGCCCGGTCCCTTTCTCCCAACTGTCGCCGAGCATGATCAGATCGTCCACGTACCCCTTGTCCGAGTCAGGCATGTGGGTTACCAGATACATCGAGGGATCTCGAGCTTGGAGGTAATATCGTCCCCGACGACTAGCCTTAGGTCATAGCAGAACAAAATTTCGTCTACCCCAAAGTTAGTTCCAAGCCGAGTGTTTAAGACGACTACGCCCATCACTATCCTAAAGAAGTTAACTCCGCACTGAAGGGGAAAGAGTTTCAATTGCATCAGGACTCCCAGCAAAAGGGGATGGAGGGGGAAGGTCAACCCTCCTTCCATGATGGCCTTCGTCCAGAAAGGCATCATGTCCTCACTTCCCATGTCCCTCCTATGGCGAGTAGGGTTGAAGGGGAAGGTGAAAACAGGCTCGCGAATATGGTACCTGACACTAAAGGTGTGGATGTTCTCGTCTGTTACTTGGGTTCTCCTCATTTTGTAGGTAGTACTGGCCCTAACAGACGTTTCCCCCTAGTTCTACTAGTTCTGGTCATCGGTGGGAGCTAAGAGGGCGAAATGTAGAAAAAACAGAGAGAGAAAGAGCTCGAGTGGAAGTACTTACAAGAGGTTGGTCTTCGGAGAGAGCTCAAAGGACCAGGGAAACTCGGAAGATAGGTGAGCACTCGGGATCTGATTGATAAGGAGAGATGGAGGATGCAAAAGTTCTAAGAAAGTAGAGAAACCCCTATTATAGTGCCTCATAAGGAGCGAGAATCGAGGAGTTGGCTCATCATTAGGGAATTTGAAAAGGGCGACACCAGACGTGCAAGCAACTGTCGTCATTAATGAGGCACGGTGATAGAGCCCCAATCCCTTCACTCCACTTGTCGAGCACCGCATAAGGGATTGCGGCTGAGGGGCAGTTGGCGAGACTCCTGTGTGGATCCTCAACCCCCGGGGTGACACGTGGCCCAATAAAGTCATTAGGTTGCCTGGAAGATGCCGAGGGGAGTGAGCCGAGGCATGGTGACACAGAGCGACCGAGTACAACAACTGACATTATAGTCAAAGTGATGTGACCTCGCATTTATGGCAAAATGAGTGATAGTGACAAGACAAATAAATGTGAGGCTGCCACTAATTGCTCTCTGCAAGTCTATGCCTACTGTCATGATGACTGGAGCATTAATGACTGATGCGCCGAAACTACGCGATTGGTTCTTCCGAGTTCTCTGATCCGCTGAGTAGTCTGTGCCCTGTCGGTGTCAGACGCCGATCTCTTGGATTTGGGCTGCTCGGCTTGTAGTATAAATGTTCGGCTTGTGGCCGATCACGTACACCATTCTCTTAGCATTCAATTCGAGGAGGCATAAAGGGGAAGCATTCACAACACGAGGGATGGTGTGTCAGATGTGAGATGTCCAGATGGGACTGAAGATCTAGAGCAATTATTGTTAACTCAGGTATAAATATCTCTCAGAAAAATGGACAAAGGTACTCAAAATCAAACCAGAGCACCTCTACTACGAAACAGTCCTTCGATCTTACTGACTTAAGCTTCGGAGGGGATCCGCCGGGCTCACGCCTGACCTTCTTTCTTCTAACCCTGTTTTTTCAAAATCGCCAATCAAGGGATCGCTACCTTACAAGATTGCAGGATTTATTCTCATGCAGTAGTCTGTTAAACTTCTTGTTTTCTATATATAGAGGAAGATGAACAATCTTTTAGGAGTTGTGTCCCTTCATCTTTCTTGTTTCATAAACTGAAAATTCAATGGTGAAAGTAGAACATGAAGAGTATGTCATAAATGATATTAACATAATAAATAAATGGTATATTGTATTGTCTTTATAATATATTTATTATGGTAGATTAGATAATTAAGAAATGTTAGAAGGTAAAAGAGAAAAAAAAAAGTTTTTCAAAGATACATACTTTTTAAAGTAGTATAGATAAATAATACAATGGAATACAAATTTTGTTTGTAAAATTTAAAATATTTGATATTTTATCTTTGATTAGAGTATTTTTAATTTAAATGTAATATTTTAAATTAAAGGAGTTTAAATATTATATGCCTACAAATTTTAAAGGATTTAAATATAATTTATTAATAAATACCTCAGGGTCTATATAATATTTCAGTGTTAGGAGTGTTCGATCGATTAAATAACAAACTTGGTATAATTCTTCTAAAAAAATTAGTAAATTAACAAAATAGCCCCAAATCTGTGCTACTGGTTTCAATTCAGTCATTAAACTAAATTTTATCACAAATCTGAACTAACAATAATCCCATGTAATATTAAAAACTAAATATTAATCATGTAATATTTTTATATTTTAAATAATAATATATTTTTTTAATTACGTAATTTAAAATTAAAATAAATACAACAAATATAAGAAAGGAACAGGAGAGAGAAAAAAAAGAGACAAGTATGGATTATAATGAGATTGAGTGTGTGTATGTAGAGTTCTCTTACATTGAGTGCTATGCAGTAAAAATTAGATCAATTTTAATCATTTGTTGTATTTTATAACTTGTATCACCTTTAATTGAAATCCGTAAAATTTTAGGGCATGCGACTCCATGCGAGGAATTTTGGTTATTCTATAGACTTCACTCGACTCGAATAAGTTACTAATAAATATTTTATTGGCTCAAGCTAAAATGAAACAGGGAAGCGGAATTAGAAAAAAAAATAAATATTATAATTAATTTTTTAAATTTTATCTTTGATTTTAATTTAATTTCACCTAAATTTTTGTCTACTTTGACTCTTAGATTAAAATGAAAATATATGATTTAATACTTAAAATAGATTAAATTAAGTTACTCTCTGTTTGATCTTACAATAAAAATAAATAAAAAACTTAATTGAGAAAAAATTAATAATTAAGTGCTTAATTAAAATAATTAAAAATTTTGGGACCAAATTAAAACGGAAGGATCAGTTATAATATTTACCTTAAAAAATGGGAAATAATTTCTTAATAGTTTTCAAAATTACTTCACAAATGGGAAAAATTTGCACCTCCTTCGCGATTTTCTCGTGACTCGTGAGCATGAGGAAAGGGCAGCGTCAGCGTGTAACATGCGGTGAGTTGTATGTAGAATGGGTAGCGTGAGACCGACCAGAGCTGAAACGCCCGCGATCTCGGCTCTTCTTCTCTCTCTCCGCGACTCATTCACAATAGATACACAATCGCTAACCCTATATCATTTTGATTAATAAATCAGTGAGTTTGTTTTCAATCCATATTCTATTCTGGCTGTGAGATCTGGCGGAGAAGGAGGAGCCCCAATTAATGTCGATTAGCTGTTTGATCTACTTAGCTGACGAAAAAAGGTTGGTCTCTTTCGAAAACTTAGTTCAATTCGTTCAATACACTGTGTATGCATCAATTTATATCGTAATTTTCAAATGATGTCGCATTTGATAAAAAACTTAGTGAGAATTTCTAATTAGTTCAGTCCGGGATCCATGATTGAATCCTCTAGCAGTATCGTTTTTAATCCAAATTTCACAGTGTAAGTCAATATATGTGTAGTAGGGTTTACTAGATAAGATATAGAACTTAATTGCTAGTGTTTCATGGAGAATTTGACTGATGTCTAAGGGCATTGTTCCAGCTCAGTATTTCACGTCGGTGGGTTTACAGTGTCTCTAGTTGGATGCTATTCAGTTGTTGCCGGGAAAATGTCAGAAAACAAAAGAAAGTATTACTACTGTTGTGGATAATTTTGATAAGGTTAGTTAGGATTAGCATTTTTACAGGAATAACATTTTTACATAAATATAAAGAGACAATATAGGTGGTGTTTGACCCAATGTTACTTGGATTGTGGACCATTTTGGTACATGAAACGAGTACAGGACAACACTTCTTTACATATGTGGTATGACAAGTGAGCTTAGTTATTACGGTATTTTGGGTTACAATTCATGTTGGAACTCTTATTTATATCGTTTTTACTACTATACAATATTATATATTATAGAATATCCATAAACACTAGGTTAGTTATCATTTATCTTATATTTGTGCTCGATGTTTTATTATCTAAAATAATATATAATTATAAATTTTATATACACGTTAATTAATATGTATTTTATATTTGTACTACGTGTACAATTTGAATTGTATATTTTTGTAATTTGGATCGCAAACCCATCTCGTTTGAGATCAATATTCTTAGATCGTGGGTCATTAGGATATGAATGAATTATGATAACTATGGTTTGACCTCACTACCGTTTTCCATAATTAATTATTTGGAATGTCTTGCTTCAAGAGCCTGTGGGAAATCCAAAGCTTGAATTAAGTTTTTTCATTATTTGAGAATTTTTTTTAATTATGTTTAATGGACAGAGAAATATGTCAAATTGACAACTATTACTTGAGAGAGTCTATGATAAGAACATGGCTTAATTTAGACAAGTTTTCTGCTTTGACAACCCTATTGTGTGTTAATGCAAGCTGGTGGTAATGGTACTTTATTATTAGAAAGAAACTTCTACTCATCCAGAAGAAAATGAAACTTTACTCCACCAAGTCCTCAAAATTTGGTCTAATTAGGTTTGCCTTGCTTCTATAATACACTGTTCATTTAAATTGTGAGAAGTTCTAGCATCATTATATGTGGACTGCTTATTTACAACATTTCAGCTTAGGTTGACTTTTCTTTTCTTCCCGTAATCCATGTATGGTTTTGTGTTTCTCAGTTTTAGCTAATGAGAGAGGCACAATGATTACTTGCAACTAAAAAAAAAAAAAAAATACTGGATTCCAGAGACTGCTACAATGTCGGCAGAAGGAGATGATAACAGCGGGATGCTGGAAAATCATGTCCGAAATGCCATAAAATCTGAGAAGCAATTGATTGACTCTGACCAGGGGAGTGATGAAAATCTTTCTAAGGAAAATGGGCTGCATGATGGCAACCCATATATTAATGGTGCCCATGATCAACTTGTACAAATGGTTGTAGAACTCAATTTTCAGAATGAGTATTTGAAGACTCAGTTCGAGGACCTGAAAAATCTTCACACCGACTCTGTTGCATCGTACCAACAAACAAAAGCAATTGAGCTAGATGTTGAGGCATGCAAAGATGTCAAAGAGCTTCATGAAAAGATCCAATCTTTGAATCGAGAACTTCTGGAAGAAAGACAAACAAGAGGCGCTGCAGAGGAGGCTCTGAAGCATCTTCGAGCTGTATACTCAGATGCAGATGCAAGGGCCCAAGAGCTTGCCACCAAACTTGCTGAAGGTTGTACATATTCTGTCTGGATTTTGACATATGTGTAATCACTTGCTGTTCATAATTGATTAGAGTCAACATAAAATTTTGAATTCTGACTCCTTCCTAATAGCTTCTAAATTTTTGTAGATATATATGCTTTGATTCTTGTATGTTTATGAATGCTATTTGCTTTCCATTTTTTATTTTAATTTTATTGGTCTGAACACCTTTTCATGGGCTATTTGCGTAGCTCAACAGAAGATGGATCAAGAAATAAAAGAACGTGATGAGAAGTACTCTGAGCTAGATTCCAAGTTCAACAGGCTTCACAAACGCGCAAAACAGCGTATTCAAGATGTTCAGAAGGTAGATTCGTTCTATGTCAGGGTTGTCACTCTGTCCTGTTGTTTAGTCAATTTTTTAACGTTGTCACCCACTCCATTTTTGGGTCTGAAATGTTATACTCATTTTACAACTGCTAAACCAACACTCCCTCCCTCCCTCCCTCTCACAAAAAGCCCTAGTTCCCATAAGGCATAATGATGTAGGACAACTTTGTAAAATAAAAATAAGGACTGTTTAGGGGCTGTGAACAGCACTCGTGAACAGTAACATGAACAGGAATAACTCCCAGGTCCCTTAGGCATCACACCTAAGGTTAAAATTGCTATATTTTATTAAAAGTAACACTAACTATATATAGAGTTCTAAGTAATCCTAATCCCAAAAGATTAGGATTCCAAAGTCTCTGGGACTCCAAAAACTCTAGGTCCCCCTACAAATTAGAAAACTAAAATTAACTAGAATTAAGACTTTAAATTTTAGAATATTCAAGAATTTGACCCAAAAATATGGCTCATTCCAGAAATTCTAGAAATTATACAAATACCTTTGACCCTAAAAATATAAAAAAGACACATATATTACTAAATACTAGCAAACAAACTTAAGGTAATTAAAAATAGGACTCAAATAAAGCTATGCAAGGTTCCATATAAGTCTTTGTCTTCATGGCAATTCAAATTTCACAATTCTTCTTGTCTTTGAATTTGTTTCTTCTTGAGCATCTTATGAATTGCATCACATATATGTCTGGAAAAAAGTGCAAAAGATCAGCCCTTAATGCCCTAAGGAACGCCATGGCAACGAAGGCATACACCTTGTAAGGCTTTTGCTTTAACCCATGTACCTCAGGAGGCTTTTGGGTTGCCATTCCTCCAGGAGAGCCTGGAGGCACGACTTGATTTTTCCTTTGAATATACTAAATTCTGAAAGTGCAATGTTTATAAATTATAACTGGTTAATGTCAGATCATTTCAGTTTTCTGCTTATGTTGTTAATTACCTGATTAGTGCATCAGTTCTTCGGATAACATCATGATAAGTTTTATAAATGTATAGTAACAATTAAGTACTGTCTTGATAAGTTGTATTAATGTACAGTAACATTTAGCATCCAATATTATGATGCTTCAGTTAGCATGTAAACAATATAAAGCCCCCACCCCTTCCCAAAAAATGCGATAAAATGAAAAGAAAGAGAAATTCTTACTCTTCCGCTGAGGTGGAACTATTATACAAAGCCATTACTTTTTCCTGGTCAATAGACTACGGTGTGGAACAGTTAGACATGAAAGGATAATCTAAAAGAGCAAAAATCAGGGTTATAATTTGTTCTTATGTTGTTCATTAAATGTATATTTTTGACAACTAGATTCTTTCTTCAATTTGTTTTTAAAAATTGTTCTTGTAATTGTGTATTAAGTTCAATTGGTACATGGAGATTGCAATTTTCAGGAAAAAGATGACCTTGAGGCCCAGTTTCGTGATATCAATGAAAAAGCCGACCGGGCATCAACTCAAGTGTCTGCATTGCAGCAAGATCTGGACCGCACGAGGCAACAAGCTAATGATGCATTGAAAGCAATGGATGTGGAAAGGCAACAATTACGAAGCACAAACAATAAGTACAACTTTTGAACAACATTAAACTGGGCCACTTTTGTGCAAACTGAGAAATTAAGTGCTTGATTAACTAATATTACTTGTCTATGTCCAGTTGTGTAGGAATATGTCCTCTAACTGGAAACTCCTGTAAACCGTATCCATCCTTTTATAGCATACACCATTACTCAATGTTGGTCTTGAGAATACGTTGAGCCAGGGGGATAAAAATAGTACATGCCTAAACCTTCATATCTGGACTCTGACACTAGGCACTTCTCCACGGTGCCCTGTCTTATAATATCCCTTTCCTTTTGAAACACAAACATGAGAATCATTAAAATATCTGTTACATTCACACCATCATTGGTCATATTTCTCTTCATTGAGAAATCGAAGAAGCTATACATTGGTTTTGTCAGGCTTGTTCATATGGTCCCTAGTCATGTGATGCAGTTGGTTTATGATGTCTCACTCTGGTAACAAATATCATAGTTTTCCATGACTATCATCATTTATTGCTTATTTAAAAAAAGAATCAAATTTTGTTTTGGTAAACATTTAGGAGTCCTAGAACTTGAGCAAAAAAAACCTGCATGATTTCTTGATGTAGAAATGGTTTGGGAAGGGTTACAAATCTGTAACTATAGACTCTAGAATAATATGCCTAACATAATATGGTTCAACATGCTGTATACCTTAGGAATTAGTTTTGTGAGTATAGTATGTCGGTCCCTTGCCTTAAATTATGTCACTGGTTGCCAGACTTAGAGACAACATTGAAGAACTGCGCCGATCTTTGGAACCTAAAGAGAATGCTGTTGAGGCATTGCAACAGTCTCTTCTGGAAAAAGACCAGGTATCAGGAAACTATAATTTTTATTTATTTTTTTTGGTATGCTTACAGTGCAAGAGCTTGATTTGAATCCTATAAATATAACTATAATTATAGTCCTGCCTCCCTAGCATGCCTTGGGTAATTAGGTGGAACCTAAGAGTCACGCTATCTAATCTTTGTCTTGTAAGATTATGATCTCTTGTTCAATTTTCATGAGCATATTTTTGCATGTGTACAGAAAACGTCGTTTGCTTTTTATGTTCATTGATACTTGTCCATAATTTTAAGGTGAACACTCAAAAGTGGAAGTCACAATCCTAGTGTTTGACCAAATGTTCTATCTCACTATACTGTATATATATTTTGGTTCGTGTGGGCGATCACCCTTTTAGGTTTTAAAAAAATGAAGCCTCATTAGTTTAACATGTAGTCCATAGGTTGAATAATTTAGTTATCAAACTTCTGGAGTTACTGGTATAATTGTTCATTTATCTCCCTCATACTTTGGTTCTCTTACATTCTGGTAGAATGTGCAATAATCCACCAGAAGCCCCAATTTGTTTTTCCTTATTGCAATGTGTAATGTTGATTCTGTAGCCGTTTGGAAGAATTCCACTAACACTAAGAAGAATGTTGAGTAGACATTTCTGTTAGAATCTGTGGAAAATAAGTCTTTCTACTTAATCTACTGTGTGTTTATGCATGTTTTGTGAAGACCTGAATCTAAAGTAGACATTTCTGTTAGTCTGTGGAAAATAAGTCTTTCTACTTAATCTACTGTGTGTTTATGCATGTTTTGTGAAGACCTGAATCTAAAGTGTGATCTATGATGAAATGATTTACTAGAGGGGTTGTGTTAGGGGTGGCGCAGAGCCGTGTTGTTAAGCGCGCGCTAGGATCAGGCGCAAGTCCTTTAAAGCCACTCTTTTCTCTATTTTTTTAAAGTTTTTTCTTTGATGCATTTTTGACCATAGGATCTGTTGATTATAATACTTTTATCATATACTACCACACTTGATTTTGGCTCATCTTCTTTGGCTTCTTCTTCTTCTTCTGCAACTGGGTCCACCGATTACTGCAACTGATTTTTTCAGATTGTATTCTACTGATTTTGGTACTTTGTCTTGTTTGTAGGACTTAATGTTTATTTATTGCATGACTTTGGATGTTTGTGCGTTTGATGAATTTGACTATTTGGATTTAAAATGTTTGAACTTGGATGCTTCATAATTTATCAATTGCTTATGTTATGTTATTTTTAATATCCTTAGGCTTCTTTGGTTGTAACTTGTAATTTTTATGTCTTGCTTGAAATATTTTTGATATAAGAAAAAATATTCAATTTGTAATTTATATTATGTGCTTTGCTTTGATAAAGCCAGTGTATCATTTCGTGCATTGCGCTTAGGCTTAGGGCCCATAGGACATTGGGGCTTTTAAATAACATTGGGGTGGGGACAGGAGATACAAACAGGAAAGTTGAAGTTTCTTTAGACATAGACAAAAGGGGACAAAGGAATTCAAAGAACAGGATCCAAAAGGCCTAAATAATAGTGACGATAAGTCTGAAGAATAATTCCCTATGGAAATGTACGATAGCTGGTGGATTGAGATAATAAAGAATTTTTGTGATAGCTTATGTTTTAACAAACACTATAACCAGAGAATAGCTAAAATGATGAATCTGGGTTGTGTAAGGGAGCCCAAATAGATGGACTTGGATATATCCGTTGAGTTTCCTTGGTCTAGCAGTCTACTGTCCGGTTTGCTTAACAGGGAGTGACAGTCTTAGTTATTTCTTTTCTTCACACAATTGTAGGCAGGTATATTTTTTAAATAACATTCTTCATGAACTATGGATTACTATCTCACGTGCAAAACAAGCTTTCAAACCTCTAAAAGAGATTCACAAACAATGAGATCTTGTTTCACATTCTCTCCTGTTGGAAACCATCATGTTTAATACATAATTTGGGACAAGTCCTCTATTTGGATGGAAAACTCTAGGAATTCATTCCAATTTTGTTTCCCTTGTTTTAATGTTGGAAATTATTAAGGACGAAACATAATCAACCATCACTGAAATTCACTCCGGTGAAATGTAAACCATTTTGCAAGGTAGTACCACAGGTTGTATAGGCATGTCGTGTTTCTCTGCTATTATATTTGATGAGCCATGATGAACTCTGTTCTTGCTTAATATACATTGACTGTGCCTTCCCACAGATATTGGAGGACATGCGAGGCTTACTACAAGCAGCAGATGAAAAAAGACAAACTTCAATGGCTGAACTTTCTTTGAAACACCAGAAGGTAAAATGTGCAGAGATGCCTTAAATATGAAATTATTTTGCTAAAGATTTGGAATTTCTTCTGCTTGTGAGAATTGTCAAATTACTTTTTCCTTAGCTTCCTTCCCATCTTGTATTTTTTCAGCAAATAGAGAGTTTGGAAGCTCATCTTGCTGATGCTTTGTCCGATAGAACCAAAGCAGCCGAAACAATCTCCTCTCTGCAAGTAAGAGATTTTATGTCTGTGGTGCGATGGGAATATTATTGAATATTGATATTGCTTGCTCAAGTTCCTTCTCTTGCTTCTAATTTCTCATCCCCTTCTTCTTGTCTTCTCATCCCTAATTTTTCCCTTCATAATCCGCATCATGGTGCTTGTGAGTTATAAAACAAGCAGTAATGCAATAATTTGCATTTGCAAGTCTTGTATTTTTTACTTCACTAATTTAATACTTTTGTTGCCTGTTGAATTTTTTTTTACATTTTGAGTGATGCACTTATTGCTTTAGTGTCCTCGTGTAAAACTGTTCCTTGGGTTCCTCTTTTATATATCTGGCCTTTTGTCGCAGTTTTTTTAATTGATATCGTTTGTCAACAGAAGCTAATGTGTCCTCCTGAAATTTCGTGATATGAAATGGATCAATCTGTTTGTGAAAATGCTTTTATTCCTTTTCAGGGACTGGTTGTGGAGAAAGAGTCTAGGATTGCTGAGATGGATGCAGCTTCAAGTGGTGAAGCAGCACGATTTAGAGCTGCTATGGAAGCTGTGAAGGGAGAGCTTACTCACCTGAAACAAGGGCATGTATGAATTGATGTCATTAGCACAAGTTAACATCATCTTTGTTCCATTTCATAAACAGCAACTGTGAATTTTAATTTTCTGATGTTTCATGCCTACCTCTAGTAGTGAACCCTAAGGTGTCCAAGTAATTATTTGCAATTTGTCGTGAAGTAGCTTGCATAAATTCAAGTGCTGATTGATCAAGTTCTAACTTTTTTTGTGGAGTTCATCAATTACAGAAGCTAAAATTCTCTCAACCTTGTTCATTTAATGGGAGGTCAATTTCACCATCATAATTTTATTTTCAACTTTGTTCATTTTCCTCTAATCTCATCTTCATAACCAACTTAGCGCTTTGACTTCCTTTAGTAACAACATCCCAAACTTGCAGCCTGTCTTGTGGTAAGGAATTCAATTATTGATATCTGGGATTATAAAATCCCGTTGTTGGCTTATGTAAGTATTTAAGGAAAAAGGGTTCACGCTAAGGATGCAATTAATAGATTTCCAATGTGAATATGATTCTTTTCTTGGGGCATGTTTACAAATGCAAGTGATGCCATTTTATTTGTCTGAAGTTTCCCTTATTGAAAAGCTTCTCCATTTTCCAGTTCAGAGTTTTTTAACATCAGTATGGAGAATGGACAAGTATTGTCAGCATTGACTCACTCAGACCACCCTTGTTAATTTGTGAGATGTGTAAAACTCATCATTTGACACCTATGTAAAATTTTCTTGGGGTTTGTGGCTGTGCATTTTCTGAGCAGGGTTTTAGAGTTTTTGTTATACTAGTCTTTTGCTACCCAATGCGGATAAAAAAATGTCACCATTTGTTTTTGATGCGCATATGTTCTCCATTGCTAATCCTTAATGCAATGTAAATTCTTCCTTGTTTCTAGGATTATAGCCCAGTGGCATAACAACCAGCGCATTGCTCCCATGTTTTTGGCATTTCGATCGAAGGAACTCAACCCCTAAATTTGTGAATAACATCATAGCTGTGCATGTTATTTTCCTAACCAGGTACATTCCTCTTAGTAAGTTTTTCACTGCATTCAGGAGAAAGAAAAAGAGATCTGGGAAGCTGCCTCCCAGGCACTGAAAATGAAGCTGGAGATTGCTGAGAGTAACTTCATACAAGCTGAAATTGAAGCTGCTAAAATGAGAAGTATTTCCATATTTTGACTGAAATTCTATATATTCAGTTGTTTCTGTTGAAGTAAGGTGTCTTTCTTTTTCTATTTTACTTTTTGATTCTTTATTCTTTTGTTGCACAGGTCAGCTAGAATTAGAATTGTCTGTGCAAACACTACTACTAAATGCAAGAGATGCTGAATTAGCAGCTGCCAAAGAGGAGGTATCTATTCATTTCCCTTCCCTGCTGTCATCAAATGCTAAATAACGGAGGAAACAGAAAGGCCAAGTGACCAAATCTCACCTTTGACGAGTTTATTAGGGTGTTGGTCTTTTGGTTGAAGTGCATGTTCCATTTAGTTGACATCTGGGTTGCACGTCTTAGTGAGTAGAAGACACTTCAGCCTGTCCTCTGTATCTTTGGAGTCTGGCTCAGATGGAGGTTGTTCGATTGTTATGGGAAAGAAAAGAGCACAAAGTAGGCACCCTCATTTTCGAGGTATGAGCCTATGAAACACGGATACTCTTGAGAAGGTGATTTATCTGTGTCGGATACCGACACTCTTCGGATACTCTTGGACACATGTCCGATACTCTTTTATCCGTGTCCATAATTAAATGATAAAATTTTAACTTTGGACACGTGTCCAACACTTATTTAGAACGAGTCTACTATTAAACAATAAATATGTGTTGGAATGTAATTAACAAACTTAAAAATTTGAGAAGATATAATTACTTACACTATACATGTTAAAGTTGTACTCTAAATATAATAATAAAAATAAAAGATGCATAAAAGTTTTAAAAAATAGGAATAAAAAAAATGAGAGTAATTATTTAAATAATATATTAGGTACACATTATCTACAAAAAAATTTGATGGTTATTGACTATTATTGGAATACTTTAGTCTAAAAATTCACACAATATAATTATAAAATATTGAATCTTTTATGAATTGTATATCATTATCACTATATCTGTAATAAATTATATAATGTTATATATAATGTTTTTTTTTTTGGTAGTGTATCCCTAATATGTCCGTGTCCTACTTTTCTTAGAAATGCCGAGTCGGCGTGTCCGTGTTGTGTCATATCGTGTCTGTGTCCATGTCCATGCTTCTTAGGTATGAGTAGCTCTTAGGCATCAGTTAACCATCTAGCATGTGTGAGGCACAGACAGACCTCAAGGACTCGCTTTAATTAACAATTTATTGGTTGGTGAGAGCTCATAGCAAGGGTGCCCTTTTTATGGTTTTCTACATTCAAAATCCTTAAATTCTTAAAATGCTTACCATTCTGATATCTTCGGAGATAAGAGTGGTTTATGCCTTCCATTCTTTTGTTTGGGGTAGGGGGTTGGATTTGTTGCACTGTAAGAATTGCTAGATTGTGGTTTGGTTTGTTAAATTTTGACTCTCAGCATTTCCTTGCACAAGTCACTTCTTTTCTGTTACATTAGACGCATCATCACAATCATATTATTGTTCATTGCTAATGACTTAATGCATTCAGTTTGCAGTACTCTGCTATGATCAACTCAACCAAACCTTTGTCCCAACTCCCAACCTTATGGGTGGTCAAGAAAATTAGTGTTGTCTTCATCTGATATGTAGTGATGTTCTGCAAAGCCTCTGATATCCCAGTTCCCATTCCACCATGGATCACTAAGCTAATGTGGTGGAGAACAGAGGAAATATCAGCAAAATACAGAAGCTAATGATGGAAAGATGAACTCAAACCCTATAGGTTCAAGTGGGAAGTGAGATCTTTGCTACGGCAAATGTGGTGCAGAACGGAGGAAATATCATCAGTATACAACAGCTACCATTGATTCTAGGACTCAGAGAGGCCTAAAAGGGCTTAGAACTAATATATTTGTGAGAAAATGAGTAGGCTGCCTATACAGTCTGATTGGAGTTCTATCGACAGAGATAGAACCACTCTGTGTTTCCCTTGTTTAGTTCAAGACCATATAATCCTCACTTAGGTGCTTCACATGACTAGCACATTATATTACTTAAATGAATCATATGACTAGCAAAAGATATTTAAAATAAGAGCAAAGACATCATTAACATACTGTCACCATACAAATAATTACAAAACATAAACAGAACTAATGTAAGATCAATCGTATAAGTGGGCTTGATTGGCCAGGAGCATCCCCTTGTTGCTCATGCACACTGCACTATATTTACATAACGATGAGATCAACTACGCTGAACCATACTGTATTTGAAAATATTGTTCTACATTCAGTTTTCCTTGCCTCATCAATTGTAATGTTTCATTTTGCGACGTGCAGATCAATCGCTTTGAAAATGAATTTGCTTCGTACAAGGTTCGCGCTCATGCGCTTCTGCAGAGAAAAGATGCAGAACTTGCTGCTGCTAGGGATAATGAAGAACTTAAAGCTCAGGAAGAAGCACTAAAAGTATGTGTTTCTTTGCGCCTGTATCATATATTAAGAAAACTAATACAGGCCAGTCTGTAAGGATCTGGATTTTGTTGCTGCTTATCGCATATCTTTGGTGCTTTAGGAGGCTGAGAAGGAAGTGCTGTTACTATCTGCTGAAAGGGATAAATACCTTCAAGATCTGAATAATGCTTTGGCCAATTATGATAAAGAACTTGCTACAAGGTAATATTGTTGCTGAGAATGTGTTAAAGCCTTTCCGTTTTTTTTTTCATTGTTAACCCTCAGTTTTGCTTTCACTTATGGAAATGATCCATATTACTATTTGTCCATTCATGTCATGGGACAGGAATGTTGAAATAGATCATTGGTTTGCAAAGCTATATGTACCCTTTGTCTTAGCCCATCTTTTAGCAAATCTGGTTTACTGGTCTCTGTTGTAAATTCTAGTCTTACATCCTGCATAAAATGCTGTTCTTCTGATTGATTATAAAGAGTTATTGAGCTTTGAGGAGTTTACTTGCCATCTTCTTAGACATTTCTCTCAATTTCAAATACATTGCAGAGATGCAGCTCTTGGCACTGCAGATCAACATACTAAGAGAATTGAAAAAAAACTCAATGATGTTCTCTCTAGCCACCAATCAGAGAAAGAAGCATGGGAAATAAACCTTCAAAACGTGGAAGAAACTTGGCGATGTACTCGAATCATGCAAAGCTAATTATGTTTTTGGCCATCTTTTTTCCATTTTTTGTTGCTATTGCATATTCTTGAGTTTTAAAATAACAATTTTACAGTAAGATGTGAAGCATTGAAGGCTCAAATTGAGATGTCTTCTGGTCAGAATTTCCAGAAGGAACTAGAGGACCTCAAAATACGTTATGAAAAATTGAAGGTTCTATGTTTTGTTCTTGTCTCTTACAATGAAATGAACGAATAGTATGGAGTTGTCTTCTTCAGGTGGTAATTAAATTCTTGTTTTGTAGGAAGAGCATGTTTCATTTCGTGATCTTGCTGATAAAATGATTGAGGAGAAGGACAAAGAGATCTCTAGACTTTTAGATGATTACAAGAATCTTCGTCAATCACTAGAATCAAGACCACAAGTACCCTTCTCTCTCTCTAAAAACCCTGATCTCCTATTTGAACTTTGCATTAAAGTGTTACGCGTATTTCTATTTCTTGGCCTGAGCATTGGTTGATGATTGCAGGCTTATTACAGTGATGACTACCGTCCAGGTATGAGCTTGTTTTCTGTAACTATAATTAGGAGTTGAAGCTACTCTGCTATTATGTATTATTTGTCCAATTGGGTTTTGCTGCTGGGAGTCTGATGCTCTTCTGTTGTCTAATTGGTGTATACAGCCTTTCAGAAACAGGATGCATCAAATTCAAGTGCCTCGGCTGCAGATCAGCAGATTCTGGTAAGCGCAAATTTCTTCATACAAATTTCTAGGTCTAGTTATATTTTGTTGTGCTCAGACTAGGATGCTTTTTAGTATCCATAAATTGGAACATATTTTTAGATACAACTGTGTTTAAGAAGAATGCATGAACATCATATAGATTACCCACCCCGTTTGCAAGGACACACAGCAAAAATAATCTGAAAACAACTTGACAGGTGATGTCATTGTATCAAAGGGTTGTGATGTCAAAATTGTTACCATCTAGACATAGAGCGGTCCTAAGAAGAGACTATCATCAAACAATTGTATACAGACAACTGTAAGGGCTTATTGATGCCAAATGAGGCAAGATAAGTATGACTTCTTGGTGATATATATCTATATTGATATGTCATGTGAAAAGAACTTGTATCCCACATTAAAATGCTGGCTTATACTCAATGTTGGTTTATATACTTGAGGGGTCACTCTAGTGATCGTCAATTGCTTTTGAGTTGGATACTCTAATATGACATCAAAGTTGGGTCTTGGATGGTTGGTGAGTTAAGTCTCTTTCCCATTTGAATTCCCCTATTTGTATTACTGTTTGTTTTGGTTCAGCTTCAGTCTCTTTATGTCTATTTTAGTTCAGTTTGCTAGCCCCCATGTGAGCCCAAGTCGCACGTCAGGGAGGTTTTGAAGCATGTATCCCACATTGAAAGATCCGGTACGACATGAGGGCCACTACACCCATCGCCAAAACCATTGATTTTTGGGTCTGATGTTCGAACATGTTATAACATGTTCTGCATTCTGTTCCCATTACCATCACCTACTACCACCCTGTTCTTAATCCTATTTACCATAGTTGTTAAATCGTGTATTGGAAGGCTTATCATTTTTTTAAAATAGTGTATCATATCGTAAGATATGCCCAATTTTAATTTTTAAATAATTATTAATAAAATATATGTATATACTTTTATAAAAAAGTCATAGACTCATAATAACATACCATTTCATTAATATTCCACCAACTATTCAAGTTCCTAACATAGTTTAGTAATATCAAAATGCAAAGACCTTTAATTCATGCTTCTAACTTCAACTACTTGAATAACCTTAATATTAATTAGGAATTTTGAATTCAATTGAAGATAATTAACAACATATTTTATTTATTTTTTTTAAAACTATAACCACTGAAACGATATTGTTTCACTAGCTAGTGATTTAAAAATAAGTTATAGGGTAAAACGATGTCATTTCAACCCCAAAAAATAAAAAATAAAAATAAAAAAACAGAATTGTCACATATCGTATATATCGAGCGTATCGTGTATCGTACGATACGGTACAAAAATGATACAAAGGCACGATACGTATCGCGTATCGTACGATACTAATAACTATGCTATTTACTTTTTTGTGTCATGCTCATTTTTCATATTAAGTAAAACATTGGGGAGGGTTCTTGCTTTGTTGCTCATATGCTGGTCCTAGATTTACTTCAGTTTGGCGCACTGATCCAATAGCTATGATAGGTGGGTTTACTAGGAGGTTTCTGTTGAATGTAACTAGAGGCTGAATTGAATCAGCATTACAAATCTTTTGTCCTTACTATTTGGAGTTAGCTATATGCATGGAAGAAATGATTTGTTAGTTTGAGGAACTTCAGCTTCCATTTAAAGAATGCTGAACCTTTTAGTAGCCTGAGAATTGGTGACATTGTTTAGGTCCACGATCGCATGAAGGGATACGTATGTCAGAATGATGTCAGCAAAAATGCTGAAATGTTTTGGGCAAATCTAATGCAGAAATCCGGTTGGACTTAAAGAGGGAAATTAGTTGATAACAGAGTTGATAGTGGCATGTTCAGTAAATTACGACGCAAACCTTACTACACAGATGAACATTTTTTGCTTTGATGATCAGTATGCCGTTGAATTTCTAATTTTATTTATTTTTAACTGAACTGCGTTGAATTTCTAATTGATAGTTGATCTTAATGATGACATTGTAGACATTTGTACTCATTCTGGTTTTTTGGATAGCACTTATTCTGATTGTGATTATTGAGATTTACAGGTCTTCTTCCACACTCAAATGGAAACTTTTAAGTTGAGAACCCACTGAGAATCGTTGTTATTTTTTTACCCTATTGAATTTTAGATTTTGGCAAGGCAACAAGCTCAAAGAGAGGAAGAGCTCGCTCAGTCGCAGCGTCACATTCTTGCTCTTCAAGTATGTTATGCCCATTTTATATTTTATTCTTATTCCTATAATGCAGTTTCTGATATGCTTTTTATATAGGAGGAAATCGAGGAGCTTGAACGTGAAAATCGTCTCCACAGCCAGCAGGTATTTTCTGGGATACACCTTGGTTTTGGTACTTCCACTTATGATCCATTTCTGACTTGAGGTCATGGTTCAAAGACTCGGTAGTCTGTTACAACTCCCTTGAGCCGGATCAAACTAGGCCCTTTCCCTTCTGATACCAGTCAATCATGAGTCTAACATGACTCAGTTGACTTGGCAGACTCTTGGTCGACATGTCCGAGTAATCATCATCGACTCACAGAATAATGCCTGAGATCGGTCTGCGATGCCGCCTTATGGTTTGAGTCCCTTGCCATGTCCAACTTGTTCTAACTATCATTTCGTGCATATTGCCCAATTCTGTTCTGGTATGCCGCGATCAACGCATCTCAGTGCCCTCCACGTTGAACCAGGCATGAGATTACCCATAACTAAGCAATTCTGCTCTCTGCTGTGCACATATAGCTAGGAACATGGATTAGTGAACAATGGACAAACTGCCATCTGAAAGAGTATAGATATCATTGGCTACCTTAGTTTATAATATTTATTTGTGTGACGAGCGTTGTTCTACATGGGGTTGCAAATTTGTGAGATCATTTAAATAAGTAACTTTGTTAAATCTATATAATAAAACAGGAGTGTGTTTGAATTTTATCCCAGTCATATTTTTCTCCTCAAAACTATCACCAATCACTTATCTCTCCCATCATCATTTTGTCAGACTCAAATGTCAAATCACATCATTCATTTCTATCACATATTTAATCATTTATATATTTCCTCCCTAAAAATATCACATCACTCATTTCTATCATATATTTAATCATTTAATATTTGATTAATTTGTAGTTAATATATTTTGAAAAAATTTAATATAATGAGATCGATTTTTTAGACGCTCGAATTTTATATTTTATCGTGCCTTTGGGCACGAGTTATGACTAGTGTATATATATTACAAAACCTATGCATTAATCATAACCCCAATTGTTATTGTTGTATTATTTTTACTTTTTTCTGTTTATGTTGAAAGGGTTGGGTTGGGGCTTTGTGGGCACCTGTATGCCCTTGTTTACCTCGTGTATATGGTTCCCTCTGAACTGTTGAGTTTACTTTTGATAATAATGTGCAGGAAGCCATGTTGAAGGAAGAATTCCGGAACATGGAAAGAATGCAGAAGAGGGAAGGTGTAGATATGACATATCTAAAAAATGTTGTCCTAAAGCTTCTTGAAACAGGTATTTGTAAATGATGACTTTTTGGGAAAATAAAAAATAACAATCGGCTTTTACTCAACATTGGAATATCAATTTTCCTAGAAATGAAAGCTTGGGTGATTGTATCGAAGTAATTTTCTTTGGTATATTTTCTGTAAATAGGTGAAGTGGGGGCTCTGCTGCCTGTGATTGCAATGCTGCTTCAATTTAGTCCTGAGGAGGTGAATTTTTTATGTTACTCTTCATGCTTTAATATTGTTGTGAAGCTGAACAAACATACTGAAGTATAGTCTTTCTCAGACAATCAATAGAAGCGGTAAAAAAAAAAGTAGTAGAACATTATATTGCATTCTGTCCAAGCGAGAACAAAACGACCCATTTGTGGGTTGGCCACCAGTACTTAACTGTTGTGACCTACATGTGTCCTGCACAAGATTGACTGTACGATTATTACCTAGCAATTTTGCTGCCAGCTCCACTAGCCAAGTTCTTTGCATCTTTAGAGGTGGTGCAACATGCCCAGACAGTCCATTATTTGATTTTTATGGCATGTGTCTGGATGTCATGTTCGGACCAGTTTTTAAGTCTTGAGGAGTTGGTAATAGTAAAACTAAGGAAAAATTGCAACATCCGAATACAAAGTTGAAGTAGAATTATTGGCCTAACCCTAAAAGTTTTTTCAGTGAATTCTGTTGGAGGAAAAAATTCCCTTTTACCCTTTTGAACAAGTACTATTTGGTGTTGAAATGAGAGGTACATTTGTATTTACCTCAGTTGCCTTCTAAATCTCTTTGTTTTACATACTATTATAGGTGCAAAAGTGTCAGCAAGCCTACCGCTCTTCAACTGATGTTCCAGCCAGCCCAGCAAGTGATGCTTCGGGATCTGGGCTGTCGCTTTTTTCTAGATTCTCATTTTCATGACGGAAGAACGAAGGGCCGAAGAAAGAGCTTTTGTTTTGACGAGTACCAGCTGCAGCAGCAGTTCACGTTCAACAAGATTGGCTGCTTGCTTGTGGATTCAGGTGATATGAGGTCACTGTAATTCTTGTATTGTTTGTCTAGCAAACCTATTTCATTGACTACTGCTGAGATACTGTAAAGCGCATATACGAGAGAAAGCAAAAGTACTGCAGATGCCCAAAGATGAAGAGCACAACGGCAGGGTTTTGTATTGTTTTTTTAGCGATTAGTGTATAGAAGACAGGTATATGTTTTATTGCTTAGGTTTTTGTTGTAAGCAATTTTAAAAGCATGTTTCAAAAAATGTTTGTGACAATAGTATATTACAATAGCTCAAGGAATGATTTTCCATTTTGGTGTGGAATCTCTTAATACCAGTAAGTTTATTATTTTAAATTTAATGCCAAGATCTCTTGCCAATAATGATTCAGAAAATTGAAGTCCAATTTTGTTTGGCTTGTATGAAGTAATGGTGTGATTTTCTTAGCTGAGGAACTCAGTCCCAGTATAGATGGCCTAACTTGATTGGCTTTTTGTGAAAAATCAAGTCACTGATTTTCTTTGGGATTCACTCCCGACTTTTGAGCCCAAAAAAAAAAAAAGAAAAAAGCACTCAGTTAAACTTTGCCCTATGAATTTTAAGAAAGATTGAGTAATTATGCAGGCATTAGCTGAACCTGTGCTGTCCACAACACAGGTAAAATACAGTTTGCCAGAGGGGAAGGAGAGTGAGAGTTGGGGTATTATGGTAATTTAACTCTCTAGTTAACGGTGCTAATGGTACACTTTTGTCCAATAACTGCATGAGAGTTATATTGATATTTCTGAACGTGAGGTACTTGATGTACAAAAAGAACAAACCATTTAGGAGGCAGGCAAACTGAAGTTTTCCTAATTTTTTTAAATTTACTGTTACAGAATACACATTTACACATTTACTAAGTTCTCTTTAATGACAGACCACCCACTGTGTATTAATGCATAACACATTTCTATATAGTGAATTTTACTTAAAACTCTGATTTATCATTGGATGAATGCGAATTGGTGGGGATTTAAATCCGAGAGCAATCACCATACTCTTCAATGATACAATTCTCTATTTTTATTTATTTTTTGGTCAGAGACAATTCTCTATAGTGCATTGCTTTTGTCCAAAATTAACTGCACACCTTCAAATTAACATTGTTTTACTCAATTGAAAAATATGACCACAGGTGGTTCATGAATGATTATGACTAAAGACCATGCGTTCAAGAGATATGTCATTTTATGATTAGGACTTCTCGCACCAATGAATGAACAAACCAAAAAAAAAAAATGAATGAACAAACCAAGCCTATGTCTAATGGGGACCATGCTACTCAATTTCATATAGGATTGTGCATTTGGTAAGAATCGAATCTTAAAAGCTAACAATCTCGTTGGGAATGAATTTTAGCCTTTTCTTTTCAGGGTCACGGTCAATTTCACAAGTTTCTCCAAAGACTAAAATTATATGAGAGAGAGAGAGAGAATTTGAATAGTTTCTCATTGATTGCCAAAATACAGAGTATCTCTCAGCAAATTTGTGGACAGAAGCCTGGAGCTGACAAGTGACATTTTCTTTCCAATGTGCCAGTAATAATCACTATCCTTGCCATTTAGATGGCTTGAAACCTACTCTTTATCATTGTCCTTCATACCTCTCAGATTCTAAGGACATAAACAGGTCCAAAGCCACATTAAAAAGCATCTGATGCATTTCTAAAAAGAGAAATCAAACTGAACAAGATCGAAAAGGCTGATTCCATTGATATAGGAAATGAAAGTGAATCTTTCAAACACTCGGTATCTGACTTGTTCTGTTCATCCTCCACCAATTACTCTGTGTTTTATGCATCTTTGTGGGTTGTGCCAATAAGCAGTCACATGCCCATATCATTGATTAATCCCCGTCTTGGAAGGAATCCAAAGAACCAAGCAAGACTCTATTTTTAGTATATAATAACACGCTTCACTAAACTATTTATCTCTCCCTAAATTTTATAGTTTTAAAGTTGATGGTCTATTTTTTATCGGATTGAAGAAGAAATTAATTGAATTGCGTATAAACTAACACAAACACCCCTTACTGTAATTAGGAGTGGCAATTGAGTCGGGTCATTGTGGGTTTGTGTCGAATATTAGTTGATTATAACCCAACTCATTTAACTAATCGTGTCGTGTTGAGTTGACCTATTTGTGTTCGTGTTTGTATTCGTGTTGACCCACATAAACTTTGAATAAAAAATTTAACGCTAAAATTTTATTTTCACTTAATAGAATCCATGTTTATACTTTTTTTACAAATTAAAAATTAATTTAATAAATATAATAATAATAATAATAATGTGTAAAAATATTTTTTTATACAATAATTATGTCGGTGCGTAATAAACAATTACAAATAATTAATATTTTATTTCTATAATATTAATTAAACATGCTAATTGTGTTAATTTCATGTTGTTCGTGTCACTATCTAAACGAAAAAATAGAAAAAATGTCAATCCTTGGGTTTGACGGGTTAAATCTGAACATGACCTGTTTATATTTCGTGTTCGCCTGTCGTGCCATTTTCGATATTGTATCGAGTTATAATCGAGTTTGTATCATAAAATTCGCGTCGTCGTGTTGAGATGAAAATTCCGACCCTCAAGTGTAATCCCAAAATGTATGTGGCCAAGACACACACACACACACATTGGTGCAGGAAAATTTTGACCAAAACTTACTATATAAAGATTTGCCCTTTATTTTCAAACACACGTAGTAGTGGCTAAATGAATTTCTAGTCTAAGTGTGATCAATTACCCTTATTTACCGCTCCCTCTCAGTCTCATATATTGAGGTCAAAGTTTAGTGGTTAATTTTACCTTCTTGTCTCTAAACGACAACCGATAAAAAATTAATATTGCATTTGGTTGAACACCAGATCATTGTGGCCCCACCATGAAATTATCTTAATAAGACCACAATTTTTCGATTTAGATGTGAATCAAGTTCAATATCCATCTAATTGAAAAACCAAGGAATTAACAAAAAATATAAAAAACTAGTAATTTTTTGTATTTGAAGGTATAAAAAATTATAAATATTTATTTATACTAAATATTATTGGCATGTGTCTGGTTTTCATGTTGGGGATCAATTATTAATAAGTCTTGAGAAATTATTTTATTTTGGAGAAAGCCATGGGAAATTAATTTTAAATTATAAATTAAAATATTTTTTAAGGTACTAAATGTCATTCACCCCTATATATATCTACCCCTACACATTTATTTTCTCCACCAAATTTATCACACCTCCCTTTCACCTCACTGTCATTTCTTCTGTCAGAGGCTACAATCCAGGTATTTCTTCCTCTTCTCTGCTTCTCTCTCTCTCTCTCTCTCACACACACACACGCGGACCCCCCTCCCCCCTCTGCGCAACCACCCCCAACCCATTCTGCTGCCCAACCCCCACCCCCTACCCCGTCTGCGTAACCCACCCCCACCCAAAAAAACTTTTCACCTACTCACACACACACTCACAGAAACACACGCACGCACGCACGCACACGCACATCACACAACGCATACTTACACACGCACAAACACATGACACACACCCCACCCTCACCCTCACCTCAACGCACCTTTACCCCAAAAACACGCACGCAATGTTGTGGTTAGTTTAGTTTCTAATTGAAGTAAGGTTTCTAGTTAGGTTTGATTTGACGCAATTTTTAATTGATTGTATTTTGATATATTAAATCAGATGTTTTTGTTTATTTATGTTGAATTTCATCTTAATTTGTTCAATGTGTAAGGTGGATGATTGTTAGCTGTTTTGATTAGTTTTTATTCCTCTTAATTTGTTTTGAGTAATTGGGTGACAGTAAAAAAAGTGTTTTACTTTTTCTCAAGAAAATCAAATAAATAGACGCAATTTGTTTATTAGTTCTGTGGGGCAATTTGTTGTCTTGGGTCCTAGAAAATTAGAATTTTAGATTCAAAAGGTAATTATTTCCTTCGTATGTTGTTTCCAGAGTAGAATTTGACCGAATGTTAAGCAATTTGACACGAATTCGTCAAGTACACTGCAATTTCATTGTTGAAATTTTCTTTTGTGCTTGTGAAGTTGTTTTATTCAACGTTTTTTTTAGATCTGATTTGCGTTAATTTTAGTTTTGAATTGATTATATTATACGAATTGAATGATCATTGTATTACAATACTTACATTGCAAACTTTTCATGCCAGCATTGTAATTTTTGTTATGCTAGCATAGGTTTATTTATCATGTTAGGTGATGCTTTTGAAAGAGATGGGTGATGGTTTTTAGTTTAGTTGAGCTTTTGAACCATCCCATGGGATTTAAAAAAAAAGTCCCAAATAATAGTAGTTTTGAAAGTAATTCCCAAATGCCGGTAGTTTTTAAAAACGTCAAAACGAACTGATGTATTTAGGTTAAAGACGTCACATGGACTGACGTCTTTATCCTAAAAACGTCAGTCCATTTGACGTTTTTTAGCCCAATACTGTAGATCAACCCATGAACTTAAAAACGTCAGTCGGTTTAACGTTTTTATAATTGACGTCAAACCGTTTGACGCCTTTAACTACAATGCCCCCCTCGCGTCTGAACATTGCAATCCATGTAGTGTAGCCGCAATCTTTGATGTTTAGGTTGGAGTACAACAAACAAATGGGTTTATTTTTATGTTGTTTTAATTTATATAATTATAATAACTATCTATTAGTTTAGATAATTATTATAACTGCCCCTTAATTTTTATCTTAGATTTTAATTTAGTCCTTAGTGATATGATTTGTCTTTTTTTATGAGTAAAATGTTAAATGTTTATTTAATAAAAAAAATTTATTAATAAATAAATTTTGATATTTTTAAAATATATAAATTTTTTTTGTTATATATTTATAAATGTAATTACATTAAATAAATAAACTTTGATAATTTAAAAATACTTAAATTTCTGACGTTACTCCACCGCCGGTCCATCTCAGTCAAATTGGGCTATTTTATTTTATTTTTTGTAAAAAATCACCTTATTTGTTTATCACTCTACTTGATTTGGATAATTATCATAAGTGACCTCTAAATTTTACTCTCGGGTTTTAATGTTTATTTCCAAGTTTTCAGCGACCACCACCACCGAAAGACGCATCACCCCCACCATCGCAGCACCACCCACCACCACCCTACACCACCTTTGCACCCCCACCTTCGCAGCACTACCCAGCACCACACTACACCACAGTAGCACCACCCTACACCAGCCTGCACAACCCAGCAGCACCCACCATCGAAGCCCCAAATCCAAGTACCACCAGGCGGCGTTCTTCAGTCCCGTGAGTAGAAAAGGTGGTTTTTCCCCAAGCTGAGG